CATACGACCTGCCCTAAGACCCAGATTACCTTACCTTGGGGGGCAGGCCCACTCTGTGGATGTGTCGCCCAATCTTGTCTGGGAAGCGCTCCGAGAGGGATTTCTTTGTCCGGGAAATTGCTCGGTCAGCGGCGTTGTAATTGAATGTCTCGCTGGCCAGCTTGACCACCTGTGTACAATCAATGTACAGAAGAAGATTTTGTTAATCTTTCCTTGACGGGAAATAACTGGTGGTGTGACTTGAGTGCTGGCATGTCTGCTCACTGAGTTACTACTACATGTAGTTACCCCCAGGAAAAAGGATGTATATTTTGTGTGCTCGTGTGTGTGTTCATATTTGTAGTCCGCATAACTGAAGAAACTGGATGGATTGTGATGATATCTGGTGTGTGGGTAGGTCCTGGGAATATTAAGGTTAAGGTCCATTTTAGGCCTCCTGGCAGCTTTCCTTAGCAGTGCAAAACTTACATCTTACATTTCCAGATTGATATTTCCAGGTCAGTCTCTTAGAAACCAACAGACACTGTTAAAAGCTAGTGATTTTTTTACAAAGTGTTTGTGCAAAGGTGACCAACCCTACCCTGACTTGAACACTACCGGAATTTTGCCCCTCACACTGCCGACTTCTGCTACATTCACTTCACGTTTGGGTGCAGACATTTCTTGGACCCATGGCATGATGAAGATTAAATACTAAAACTAGTTAACTTCCCAAAAATACAATTGACGTAACCTACTGACATCAAGGGAAATCTGATTATCAGATTTTAAAGTCAATTCCTTGACTTCACTTCGGATAGCATATCTTATTTTCAATCCCAGTGGACTGCCATGGAAAGTGAAATCACTTCTGTATTGAGCAATTGGAAGAGGTGGGGAAGACTCTCATTGATTATGCCTTCATCAAGGATGTGCTGTGTATCAAATTATTAGATATTGAGCTTCATTAGTGCATCAGGGTTTAGTGAGTATAGATGTAACTACAGCATCATCATTGTTAGGGATATAGCACATCATGACATGAATAATGTTGGTATTAGAATGAGTGGTAGTAATACTACTGGTAGATAGGGACACCATTTTTTTACAGGGTTTCATGTGAATAATTTCCTTCAGTTTGCACTTTGTATTGGATCATAAGCTACAGAGGACATGTAGAAATTTGCAGTTAAAGACAAGTGGTAGTAGGTGCCCTCTCCCAATTTTTAAATCTGATTACTCCATGTATCTGTTTCAGTTGATGATCCTATCTCTGACAGCGGCGACAGCTTGACTGACAGGACGACTGCACATCACCAATTCACCGTTTCATTACTTTGACAGACATGCACTTGGCAATCAATTCCACCGATTGATTGACTGAAACACGGACTAATGGGCAACGTGTTGATGGCTTTCAAAGCTAATCAGGCTGGTTTGTGAGTTAATTGGGACAAGTTGCAATTGTTTCGCATATCTCCATGCAACCTTGGTCAAACTTATGTTTATCATTATTTGTCTGAGAAGGTTGATATATTCATGGAAAGTAATGTAGGCTAAACATGTTGATCTATGCATGGAGTCCCTAGCATGTTGGTACTGGTAACTGCTCAGCAAGTACAAATCACATGAAAATCAAACTGAGCAGGAAACATGCATGGGTCACCTTGTATGTTCTACTTTCTTACTGAAGATTACCCATCCTGTATCCATATTGTTACATTTCAACCTTAATTCATGTCTCCTTTGCAACTACAATGTATTTTCAAATAAAATATGTACGTTCTACCCCAGGAAAACTTCATCCCTTGCTGTAACAAAAGCACGTCTGTTCCAGTTCACTCTGATGCTTAACGAATCTTATTATGGCAGAGAGGAAACCAAGTCACAGATATCAGTGTAAGATGAATGTACTGTTTCCTTGCTGCGACTATTTTCTTTAAAAAAAGCTACCTTATCGAACACTATGATGTATAAGAGGAAGTTTCCCACGCAATTGCTTGCCTGGTGACAAATGCCATGTCTACATCCAGCCAGCGAAAGTGAGATGAAAAAGCGTGATCAAACCCTCCGTAAGGCGTAGGGAAAGGACGCGGTTCCCGTCATGATTGATAACATGCTTACTCCGGCCAATCGGCATTAATCTTACGGGGGGGATGAAACCGTGGAATTTTGGTGCAGACTTGATGAATGCGGAGATGGAGGAGAGTTAAGAACAACATGAATGAGATTTACATCAGGGCTTAGACGTAAGGGAGAGGGATGAGGTATCAAGGTATCTCCTGCATTAGCCATTAATCCTCCAGATTACATCTGTCCATCGGAAAGTTACAGCAGAGAGGAGTGCCAAAAACTTTCTCTTATCAGTACAAGATGAATCAGAGTGGAGAAAAACCTGTAGCCCTTCATATAATCAATAGGCAAGACAATCATGGTGGGGTAATATAGATCTATATCATGTTGTATAGATGACAAGATGTCAAGGTACAAGGATTGAAGCATCTTGATCAGATTATTAATGTACACTCTGTTGAATTGGGTGATATTAAAAACAGAACATATGTATCATAAAACAAGTATCAAAATAAAAACTATTATTATATAAATAAATATCAGCTATTCTCTGCAAGTCATCATCATGTATTCACAATGATCAAAACATTGACTTGGACAAGCCTGACAGTCATTTTGATCACGGGAATGGATCCAACAAGTTGTCGACCAACCAAATGTGTTGCACATAAAAACTGTTAGTGTTATACAATAGCTTATATAGCTATAGTCACTGAAGAGCTCACTAGGAATCAGTATCAAGTATGGAAATGAATTTTATCTTTCTTAAATGAGAAATGAAATTTACAACCTTGCACAGCATATGATTTGGAAGAGAAACAGTTCATATACCGAGAAAAATCTTCTTGTGTCTGTACATGTGGTTGTGGGCCAGTGGCTACATGTATGTTAGTTATGATAAATAGATATGGACCAGTGTGCATGTGAAATACTGGTACATTGTTCCTACCTACCCTAGTTTTAGGGACAACATTCAGCTGTAGCTTGAGATCGACCAGACTGGCGCCGGCCTCGGACAGGTAGCCCTGGTTCAGCACCAGGCAGCTGCGCCCGAAACAACACGGACAGCAGATCTTCTGCATCCACTTGGTCCACTTGGGGTTCAGGTGTCCGTAGGGTTCCTCGTTCTTGGGCTTGAACACTCCGATCTTTTTCTGCACAAACACAGAGGAAAATGGTTATAATCTTAGGCAAGAAGTACATATATATGTGTAGTCCAGAGTTATCAACCAAAAACTGTGTTCCAAAAATTTGTTTATTCCTAGAACAACTGTGGAGAGGAACTCGCTACCAAGTACAGTTCATCATCAATAGATAGCTTTAAGCAATGCTAACTAGGTGTGACAGGTCTTTCAGTGTAATAAAAGCAATTTGCACTGCCTGTACATGTGAAGCTGGTGTTATGCCGAAGGGCAGTTACATGTATACAGTCTATACAGACTGAGATACAGATCTTGCTCAGATGAGGACATTAATGAGCCACAAAGGTTGCATGATATTGTGGTTGGTCATCAAGGTAAACTATGTAGCTGTAGAGTTTCAGGGGTTATCTTTTGAAATCCATGGCTCAAGTCCCTCAGATGATGTTGTTTATGCACCAAAATAGATCCATACCCCCTCATCCATCCCTTCCTGACCTTTTGTAATAAAGATTTCCTGACTTGTAACATTATAAGCCGTAAATGACACCTACATCTGTAGTTCCCCTCAGGTCAAATACAATCACTCTTCTGCCCCAAGCCAGCCCCCTACCTCATACAAGTTGGGCTGTGAACAGATTAAACTTTTCCAGCGCAAATTCCTCCTGCCTGGCAAGATTGCACAGATAGAAATCCAATTTTCTCACACTATAATTGAAACGGTGGGGCAGGCCAACATTGCGACTTCTGGATGACTGAACAGCAACTGTATATTGCCAGCAGCTTTATCTTGGAGGGGCACACAGTTACTGTTCACAGTACAGACACCAAAAGCACATTTTAGGTTATAACATGAGACATTTGGAAAGTACTTTCTTTTGGGAAAATTGGATAGAATGTGTAGCATAGATTGCTTTGTGTCATGAGATATCATGCAGATTTGCTAAGAAGTAAACAAAACTTTTGAAATAACTGCTGCTTAGGCCACACCAATTTAATTTGTTGGTTCTCGGATTCACCTCTTCATTTTTTTTTGATTTGCAAAAAAAAAAAAAAAGATTCTGGTTCTGAATCAACTCAAAAATGCTCATATTTTGCCCCCAACAGTTGAGGAAATTCCTTTTCTTCCTAGTTGTTACAGTTTTTTCCATCTATCAAGGCAGTGGTTTGATTAAAAGTTTAAAATCTGTACTTTAAATTTTAACCCAGCCTTTTTTGTTGACTTCATGGCTCATATTGTAGCATTTGGGGCTATAATAGGATGCCTAGACCTGTTTTTATTTTTATTTTTTTTCGCCCTGTCGCTTCATATTTTTTCTGAAAAAAGCCGAGAACCAACAAATTAAATTGGTGTGGCCTTAGATGAAACGTTCAAAGTTCAAAGTAATCATTCAAGCTTACAATATTGATGATCAACTGGTCTTCTTTAAACATTAGCAATACAATAACTACAGTCTAGTAACTACTGATGCACTAGAATACCATACAATGGCATACATGTAGTTCAACTGGCGCCATTACAATGTGTGCAAACATGCAATTGATAGGGACTGATCACGGATTGAACTAAATACATACATTATACTGTGTATCAATGGCATCATCCATGCCGTGACTTTTGGCCCTGTCCTATATGCCAGGGGACGTGATCTACATGAGCTGTGCAGAAGTTATATTACATTGTCCCTGGAGGTTGTGTTTGTGGGTCTATATCATCAGCATCCATCAATAAGCACTACTTCCATAAATGAACCACACTTCTGGGTCAATTTGTCAACAGGAACCCTGTTGCATGTTAAACAGTTGGGAGAGTGATAGGCATCTAAATAGGCCCCTGTACTGTACACACTTCAATTCCTGCACACTTTCAGTAACTACATGCACTTGGAAGGCTATTTCCTGGCTCAAGACTTTTATCCAAGAAGTTTTGTTTAACCCTTACCCTGCGAAGTTTTAGTAGGCCACGGCAAGTATAAGCTAGAAGTAATGCAATGTTATTACAAGAAAAGATCAATGTTGTATGCAACTATGTTGCATTAGTAACTGTGGAAGCAATTATTTCAGTATAATGTGAATAAGGATTATGTGAAAGGCAGTGAAACAGAAAAACACTTGTTCCTCAAAAGTGTTGGTATTGTATACTAGTATTACACAGTTGGTAACAACCTATGAAGCTTAATACATGCTCAAGCAATGATATTTAATTAATCTTTCAGATTGTTGAACCATTCCGAAAAAGTTTTTTCACACATGTAAAACAATTACCAACATTTCAGCACCACAGACAGAGCCTTGTCAAGAGGTCCAAAATGAATCATCCTGTTCACTGTTTGTACTGCAAATGTATAAGATGAAAGGTAAAAGCTCCTGGATACAGTTCTTATCCAGACCAGACCCGGTTCTTTGCATGTTGTACCAGTTTAAACCGGTCCAGCCGAACTGGTGCCTATCCCTAACAGATAAGTTGTATACAAGACTTGTATATATATCTTGCTATATCATCCTTACTGTGTAGCAGGGATGCACTCAGTTGGGAGAATACTTCAATAGACTGGTGGAGAAACTCATAAATCCTGGCAATATTGGCTCCATCCCGACACCCTGTTCACACCTCTGATCTAACTTGACCCTCCCCACCACCTGAGGCCTGCCGAGCGGGAAACTAATCTCAAAATCAATGACATTCGATAAATTACGCGCCGAGATCAATTCTCAAATTACAACAAATGGAAATTTGGGCATGCGGCACGTCTCCGGCGCCGGCACCGCGACACGATCGGCGGGGAGAGGGCACGCGCGGGGCCGCCGCGTACTAACATTTGGCAGCACTTTTCAGGAGGGTGAAACACAGTAATGATTCCCCTAACCAGGAGTAAATGAGAATGGATGACACCAGGAACGCATGTCAGCAATTCAGTGGGAAGAAACAAAGTAACCCCATTTATCTTGGGAGAAAAGTTTGCCATATGGGAGATGAGTTATCACCTCCATAGCATGTGCACGGAATTTATTAGATCTGCACGTATTTCATTCATCATTGTGAGGAGAGGACAAATATATCATCACACATCTCCTTATTTTCACCAATAAAATAGAACATCAATTAACCTCTCCCTTGTAATTTTAATAATTAGTTTCCTCATTGATACTCCCTATACAAGATTGTTGTTTCCTTAAAAAGAAGAAAATGATCACACAGAATATATTCAGGTCCCTGCCTCAGATCTGATTGTTTAGCTAGAACCAAGTTTGGGCTTGATTTCAGCTTAGGTTGTTTTTCCCTTTCTATTTCTACCCCCATCTATTCCTCTGATATTGGTTGTGCAGCTTGTGCTACTCAAATATGGTTCATAAGTAATTCAAATTTATTATAAATCTTGAGGGCATTGCAAACAAAGAATAATGCATTTCTCAAGAAACATTATATCACCTCTTGAGAGTTAAAATTACACTGTCATTTAATATCCTATGTCCCACCATGCTATGTACATAACACTTGCATTTTTAGACAAACAGAAATTAAACTACTGAATAACAAAATAAATAGCAAGTTCTGCTTTCAATCCTCAGGATCCAAAACAACTGAGAATGGTCTCCAATATAGTAGGTTATGAGTTTTAATGTTACTCACATGCTTGCATGGAAACAAGCATTATTCACAAAGTTGTTTGAGGTATGCAAAATAACACCCAGAACCACATACATACATGTACGGTACACGTGAAATGAAATTCAGAAATACAGCCTGAGGATATCTGATATTAGAAAAAACAGGAAGGATTTCCAGAACATCCCATCTGGTAGGTGAAAAATGAGGATATTAAGAGACGGTGAGACTGTCGTTTTCTCCCCGATGAAGCCGGCGCCGTCGTGTTACGCACAGACGGGCAACAGCCGGGGGTCAAGTGGACAGACCAAACTTTCCAGACTATAGCGGCATTTGTTTACCCTGGTGGAGCCAGCGGTTCTAGATTACTTTGCACAGACATTGATTGTGTGTTGTAGCTCCACTGCACAGGCGTGGGAAGTCATGATGGTATATAGGACAGTATGATTCTTATTCTACAATATAAGTAGGAAAAATATTACAAGTTGAAATATTAGGAATAAGATAAAGACTTAGACTCTTTTGGTGGCAAAAAATTGAAATAGTCCGAGTAGATGATTTGTCACCAACACAGTAAAAGGCTGGCCTTGGTGCTGAAAAGTTTTAAGGATGATTTGAATTTTACAAAATGCAAATGAATGTCATTATCTATTTGCAAAATGAAAATATGTGATGTAAAATAGTCAAAGCAATTTGCCTGTCAACCAAAACAGTTGCTATACACCTGGAGACAACTTTATTCAAGATAATTAATTAGCTGTCTAACCTTTTCTGAAAGGTATGACCTGATAGCGCATGAGTACGGAGAATGGCGTATAATGTCAGAGGGACAAGCGTGAAGAACGTTAAAGATCATTGGAACAATCTCTTTGACAGTATCTGTTAGGATCAGCACACGACTGAAAAAGCTCTGGAACATAATAAAACCCAGCATGCTGTAAACTTTAATATCAAGTTGATCATTATCTAGTGAAAAGGTCATAAAATGAATCACTCTTCAAATGGAATTCCCAAAGGACTTATATGATTTAGCACATGTGCATGTATGAGCTTTATAAAACCTGTGTAGACACATGTAGATTTGTGATGAATTAGGGCTACAAGACATGATGCAGGGATCGGAGTTGCTTGTGTTGTAAAAACATTTACAATGTACATATTTTGCACTAGCTAATCAGCTGAATGATGGATAATGTTGTCTCCAATGTTTGGAAAGTCATAATTTGCAGTCATCACATCTCAACATGTGGGATTGAAAGTAGTCTAGATAAACTTTTGTGTGAATCTGACAGCATTTTAATAACACGTACAATGTAGGTACACATTTTATTGTGGTGAAAAGTTGGAGCTGCTCTTAAAAATTGGTGTTACCCTATACCATAGCTAAAAAAACTGGCATTTTCCTTAAAAATTGGTGTTGTCCTTAAAAATGCTGGTTACTACTTGGAGCTGGACTGTAGTTGTCTTGAATTTATGGTGCATGTTGTCATAATAATTACATGAAGCTTAAATTGCACCATCAAAGTTACAGTAGAAACTCAAATTAGTAATACTCTATTGGTAGAGTGAAAAAAGGTTTTGCAATTAGGTTAAAATGAGCGTGTGTCTGCTGATCATGATATTCCTTGGTATTCTGCCAAGCCAGGGACATGAAGCATCCTGATGGTGCATTCATATTAGAGTGAGCAGGTAATATTAAAAATTTTGCAAGCTTGTATGAATGTGGGTATGTAGGTAGGCACAATATTAGAATGCTACTGATTAAAGGATTACTTAAGTTAGGAGGAGGGAGCTGTTTTCCAATAGACAGCAATTTTTATAAAGGAAATTATTGTACTTTAATATAAGGTCCCCAATAGTCGCATGCACACAAAATATGGCATCAGACTCAGTACTCTTGACTTCAAAAATCTCCAAATACAACATGCACCCTCTAAACAATCCCAGAATGCACTGATCATGCATTCATTAATAAATTACCTTTTGGGAAACAACACCATCAACCCGACATTAGAGCCCCTATAGGTTGCAACACATGCACAGGCATCTAATCAATTGAATCAATTGCGAGAAGTATACAACAATACTTGATCAATGACTCATGATGTAGACATCAGCTTCTTGATTTCAATTTGGCCTGCAAATTTCAAGTTGCAAATGTGTATAAAAGCCATTTAACATGTGATGGAATTCAAAGAGCATCCAACTCAGGTATACTTATGTGATAAATATTTAACATGAGTAAGTACATTAGAGTCAGGCATTTACAGCTAACAGGGTTGACAATGGCTCAGTTGGGAATCTTGAATGAACATCAGAGAGAAACCATCTTAATTGTGAGTGACATGATAGGGACATGAACTTCAGAAGTTTACAGCATCTGGCATGACAAGATATGATAATGATGAGCACCTGGTCTTTAAAGCAGACACAACTTTGAACCAGCACATCTATCATTACAACAGATTACAACATAAAGCTTATGATATCAATTACACATCTAGGTACATGAACTTTTCAACCCTAAGCTTCTACAATGTAGGTTACAATATCAATGACCAAAAAGTGCATTGTATTGTCATATAAACACAAATTGTTTTTGAAATTTTTTCGTATATGGAAAAAATATTTTCTTATGTATATACGAAAAATATCAAACATGGGACAACAAACTTGTTTGATGTTTTGTACAAAGAATGTACACAGTCAATACAACAATCAATAAAATATTAACACAAAGTTTAGGCCACACCAATTTAATTTGTTGGTTTTCTGATTTGCCAAAAAAAAAAAAAATTGATTCTGGTCCTGAATCAACTGAAAATGCTCATGTTTTGCCCCCAACAGTTGAGGAAAGTCCTTTTCTTCCTAGTTGTTACAGTTTTCCCATCTATCATTGCAGTGGTTTGATTAAAAGTTCAAAATTCAATGTTTAAATTTTAACCCAGCCTTTTGTGTTGACTTCATGGCTCATTCCATAGCATTTAAGCCTATAATAGGATGCCTAGACCTGTTTTTATTTTTATTTTTTTCGCCCTGTCGCTTCATATTTTTTCTGAAAAAATCCGAGAACCAACAAATTAAATTGGTGTGGCCTTAGGGTCAATGCAGTGCAATGCCCTTTGGACTGTAGATAACATCATGGCTCTACAAATAGTACATGGTTGGCTAGAACAATGAACTTTTGTTTTTGTTAGGCTTGTTTATTAAGGCTTCTTAGCATATCTTTGGATTCCTTACTTCTTTAATCTTCACATGGACTTAACCTCCTTCCAGGACATGTACAATTTCATTTAAGCTACTATCAAATAAAATTGGAGCATCTCCATCTTTGGTGCATATAAAAAGCAGGTTATAAATCCAGTCTATATCATATGACTATGAGTAACTTATATCTTTGTCTTAAGCTATATGAGTTTCAAATGGTATTGATTAATGTTTAAGTTCAAACTTTAAGTTCAACATTAAAATATAATCAACAGTTCATACCATCATGACATTTCAAACATGTAATTAAAATGAATGACTACATGTAAACTTCTAAATCTAAACATAATATTACCAAGCATTCATATCAGTGTACTAAAACAGGTACCACTCTTTTTACATGAATGCACCTACAGAATATCATTAACATTAAATTTTTAAAATTTGTAAATGTAACGTTACATGTAACGTTACTTAGCTGTGAATACGACCCCCATATGTTACAGATAAAAATAGATCACCTGTAACGTTAGTAGCGTTAGAGTAGCGTTACACTTAATTAATTATGGGTATGGCAAAGATCAACAATATATTGATATGGTGATTTATGCCAAATAATAAGGAACAGGTAGCACATGTGAAACTATTACTAGTACATCACTCTGGGTTAATGAAATGTAAACAGACAACTTATCGTGTAACGTTACTTACACCGCTTGTGTTGTACTTACCCCTTCTGCGTTCTTCACAAAATAGCTACCACTGGAGCCCTGGTAGATGATCTCGGGATAAATGCCGTTCTCTATCGCAACGTCTGCGGAACGTATAACGTCCATGAAGACGGGGTCGTCAGGAAAATGGTTCTCAAAATCGTGATGTTCATGATCGCGACCGAGCAGAGGCTGGCTCTCCCTCCCACCCATCCCCCTTGTCGGCGACCGCGGGCCGGTCAGGTCGGTGCGCTGAGGGGCGAACGTTACGTCAGGCGGAGGCACGATGTCCTCAACCACCGATCGGAGAGGACGTTCAGAATTCATCTGCAAGTAAAACCCACAGAACTGGCGTCAAAACAGGTTGAAATCCCCAGAAAACAGAAACTAAACCTGTTGCATATGACTCAATCTAGTAGTCATCACATGATACCAAAAATATGTAGTAGTATATTTGTAGCACAAAATACTGCCACTTCCTTTCATAAGATAGAACAATATCAGAAAAACTGCGAGATAATTGTATATGAATAGACTTTACAAAGTGTATTTAATATATTTGTATGGTAAAATGTGCTAATTTTATAGATACAAATAATTTTTTCGAAACATATTTTTTTGCTCTGAATGATATGCTCGTGTTACTATAAGTCTCGGGTTATCTCGCCAAGGGCGAGATTTGGCGAGATTCATCATGGCGGGAGAGCAAGCTAAGGAAGGTGAAGCCACGCAAAATACGCAGCAAACGGAGGTTCCTGCGGAGTCTAGACCTGATGGAGCACCACAGGAGCAAGCCCAGAGACCCAGAGGGCCTGCGATGGGGGGTCCGAGGGGACTCAGGTACGCCTATCGCCCAATTTTTGTAACCGAACATCTATTATGTTGGTCACGAGTTCAAGATGGCGGCTTCCCGTAGCTTTGCACGATTGATTGAAAATACTCACTTGTTTCTCCCTTGCCCATTGGGGCGAGCCAGTGCTGAGTTTGTACGCCATTACGTCAGTTATCACCTGTACAAATTGCCCATTTCCTCGTGCGTAACCCAGGTGACATTATGAAGCCCTGTTTGATTGCCAATATTCCCCACCCACGTTGACATTGCCTCCCACCTCATTATATTTCCAATCGTGTCGCCATATTCAAGATCTAGACGTTCGGGGCGTGATGTTACCTCGCCAGGGGTGTTTATCACGGCCTGCCCAACTTATGCAGTCTAATCACACTGCCCCACCACCAATGGCCAGCCTCACGCTGCTGGGTAGCCCTCCAATCAATAATCCATTATCTCGAAACATAACCTTGCTAAGTACGTCCAATGCGAGCGTAAGCTTTTGAATATCAAATTAAGCGTGGAGCATCTATAATTATGAATTATTAAATGGCTGAGAGCTGCGTGGAGACTCCGGCGGCACCGTCTTCATAAACCATGCTTCAGTGGGCTTACAGCCGATCCTGCTCTGTTAAGGCTTGCCGCCACTGATGCTGCAAGCTCTGAACGGGCTGGAGGACCTCCACATATTTTCTGTTGCATATTGGACATACCTGGCAGGGGACTCTTAAATGCTGGGGACAAAGGAGAAGCGAGGGATTTTTCCAGCAGCAATGTTTGATGTTTTGATTGCTTCTATCCTGAATTTCAGGTCTAAGCAATACCTATGGGCAAGGTGGGAAGTATTATCACTTTTTGTCAAATTGAGCGGTAGATGTTGATTTTGGTACCTGTAGTTGTGGCATGTGGTTTTGGCATGTGATATCGAGGGTACTTCGTTGGAAAGTACAGTAGATGATGTAGTGGTAGCTTTTGGATAATGCTTGTGTAGAGGAAGGGCTGTCCTCAGTCTATTTACTCGAGACAATAAAGTAGCATTGTTATTATTTCCTGTGTAGGATAAAGTGACTATTGTTTAAGGTATCCTGTATGGTTGTGGTTTGATACAACATGTATATTTTGTAATTTTAACTATTTGGTGTAAACGAAATCAAAGGCTTTCCAGTTGTATTCTTGAGTTTATCAACCCTGCCCTGTTCTTAAAACACATATGATATTCTTCTCCAATCGCAAGTTTTTTCATGGCATCAATCCGGCATGTATCATGTAATAGGAAGACACTAAAGGCAAATGGACAAGGGATTGATTTTGGCGGCCGTTGCACTGGAGGATGAAAGTACAATCAATGAGCTTCTCGGCTTGGAAATGAATTTGATGGTAGAATGGGCAGCCTTGCTTAGCACATCTTTTGGTGAAAGGGCAGGAGATAGCGCTGAAATGTGAAGGGCAGGATGCTTTGATGTTCGGGGCTGGGGATTTTCTCCATTTGGAATGAGATGAAGAGATGTTTGAGATGGAGAAATGAACAGGCAGGCAAAGGGTGATCATGGAGCCATTAGGACTGTTATCATGAGTTCATTGTGCTCCGTCAGAGTGATTATCTGTTGTTTTGACTAATACACATGTTACGAGAGTCTTGATGGTCATATATTAGAATTGTTTGCAGTTGCATTCATCAACAGAGGGATGGTTGGTTATATTCAGTAACATTGCACTGTTTGACACGCAATGCATTAGAATGTGAGTGGTATGAAATCTTTTGGCAAAAAGGATTTAGTTAATCAGTTCCACTGTCTGTTTTCATTAGGGTTTATTACAGAATTAAGTCGACAAATATTTTCATACAGACAGAAGGAAATTTGGAGATTAGAATGGAAACTCTCTTGTCTTTGTTTCTATGATTGTGACAGTGAGACATGTAGTACTACCAGTAGTATGAAAATTCAGTGAGTTTATTGACAGTCATAATAATTATTGGTAGAATAATATGACTGGATATACATAAAGGATACATGTATAAATGTAAATTAGAAAGAACATGGTGGTGCCACGGAATGCAAATTCTGGATAGAATAATGGAATACGGTCATCATTATTATAGAGTGATAAATATCATTGCAAATATTTAATCATTTTAAAAACCACACTGTTCCCTTTGTTCTAGGCCACCTCTCAACCGGATGCCCCCACCCAGATTTCGAGGCCCCCCAGGACCTGGCCTCCCCCTGGTGCGCGGACCCCCTCCCCTGAGAGGCCCCATGCCCATGATGAGAGGGCCACCCCCTCCGCCAGGTCCTCCCGGGAGATATCTCCGACCGCCGTTCGACCCAAACTTCCCCCCCATGCCGCCCCCTCCAGGGGGGATGCCTCCCCCGGGGATGCCACCTCCACCCATGCAGGTAGGACTGATGGTATGATGCACTCCGTATGTCTTCTAGTAGTGTGACTTACAGTATTACAGGATGAGGCTGTAGGCATTTTTATATCTTATGATGAAATGTTTCAGTCATTGTTAATGCACAGCAGTATATGAATACAGTGATATGAATCTGAATGTCTTGTATAACATGATATCATGTTAGAAATTGAAGATTGTTGTTTGTCAGCCATCTCCAAGTCTGTTCATCTTCGGGATTTTACGTTATCCTGGCGTTATCCTGTATTCCGACACCGTAGCCAATCAGGTTGCGCTGTCACTGGAAATGGGCAGGTTATATCATCATACAACGACAGGGGTGAAATTGCCAACAACCCCGCTATTCATCACAGTAATTCCTATCCTAACTATCTACCCCGGGAACATTGACAAATTTCCTGTGGACGCTATTTACATTCTGATATCACCGCACCCTGCATTATGCATCAGGATGAGCATATCACAACCAAAAGGTCCGATAATAGGGCAATCCATTTGCCGGCAGCATTTCTGTAAGAGCCGTGATTAATTTCCAGTGGCAGTGGCGTCCAATACGTGGTCAAATACTTCTCCACTTTGTTCTCATCGGGAAGTTCTTCTGCCTTGCAGGAAGGTGGTACTTTCCCTGTGACATGTCCATAAATCATACTTACCGGTCCTTTAATTCCGTCCTGTATTGATGATGGAGGGGAGGCTTAGTGGGAGCCAGACGTCATGAACCGGGGGCTTAGGGCTACTATTTGGTCTTGATCCGTGCTACTGGGTCAAATTGGCAATCAAAATTCTACTGAGCTTTATTATTATCTGCTGGCCGGCCCGGCGGCAGGAAGGTGCATCTGTTTGGCACCGGGTACCCGCCCGGGGATGGCCAGCAGTCGTGCCGTGGGCTGAATGCCAATGAGGCGTCAGCGTCTCTGTGTACGGCTCCTTGGTTGGTTGGGTAGGATTTGATGAACGGAGGTTCCCAGGCTAGGATCTAAGGTACAGCCGGGGAATTGTAATAGTGCATGACTGGGTTGCCTATGATGGCGGAATCGATACCTGAATGCATCTGCCCTAAAAAATGTACAGAGAGCTTTTAGATGTTACCAGTGGCTAAACTCCTTTGAGGCTTTTCTGACCCCAGCTTCTCTATTTTTCTATGTATCTTCCTGGATAGTGAGTGAGTGAGTGATCTTCGAAGATTTCATGGCTCTTCTGCATATAAACAACAGTTACTGATGCATGAATGTATGCATACTTCACATACCCAATTTTACATTGATTTTACTATGGCTTATATTAGTGTACATGAATTATAATCTAGAACTATCAAAAATATTTTCATAGTAAGACAGTATTGGGAATAGCCAAAGTACTGTTAGTGTTACACATTTTTGACAAGTCGAGATTTAATGCTGATAGATCTTGATTGTAACCTTTGTTAAGTAGACCAGGTAAGATGGTGTAGAAGTATGAACAGTGGGAAATGTGCTATGGTCAAGAAGCAAGTTAAACACCACACTTTCAGCACCAAGGACAGACCTAATCAAATATCAAAGATTTGTCTGCAAAGAAGTTCCCAAAACTCATCTTCTTGCAGTCTAATATTTGTCATGGAGTCTTACTACCATTAAATAAAACCAGTGGCTTTTGATATCACGAACATACCTTCAGACAATGAAAATAAGGCCATACTTTTGCACCTCCAGCCTCTGGAGAAATTACCATTTTGTTCACTGCGAGCTCAATCAATAGCATGCATATAGAAGAGCAATTATGCAGAATCCATTTGCCTTCTTATCTGACCACTAATTTTCAAATATGTTTTTTACGACAATCAATAATCCATTGAGTGTTACACACCCGCATTAGGGCTGGTGGTTTATGACGTGGAACCTCCCATGCATGTTTGGAACCTTCTTTCATTACCACACTTACCGGCATTCTCTCTCAATGAAAGGGAAATCTGAAATGGGTTCTTAATGCGGTGGAAACTACCGCATGCCGCATAACGATGCCGGATATGACAGATCACACTCTTTCAAGTTTAGCCTTCAACCGTAAACATGCAATTATGGGGCTTCAATATACCGTCAGGCATGTAATCTCCCCTTCCTCTGCATTCTCTTCTTCGTCTCACAGAAGGCGTTTCTCTTTCAATCTTGATGGATGGTTGTGATGTTTTCCGACTGCAACGAGAGATGCGCTCTCCCAATAATTGCTATCCTTTCGCACCCGGCCCGGATTCCCAGATTGTTACAGTGACAAATGTAGTGTTGACTTTAATTTCACAGAAAGCCTCCCTTTCTCATCTCCCGCCTTCCACCTGAATGCATGATGAGTTGTGGGGATGCGATTGCGATCTCATATTGGATTTGTGCTAAATTTCCACTCAGAGGAAGCATGAACAGCACAGTATTGGGAGGATTGTGATGTATGTTAGGGTGTGTCCGGGCGGGCTCCGAGATGCTCATTTAGAACTGCCGGCTCTGATTCTAGAGGTACAGCAATTACAGGTGTGGGAAGTCAAGGTGCTAAATAATGCATGCCAAGGAATGTGATCAGTTCCGTAAGCCTTCAGCTTAGTCAGGAGTTCCCGCTGAGAGTTGAGTGGAATGAAGGCTATATACCCTTCCAACAGTTAATCCAGCAGTGCTAACACGGGAAATAAGATTAAAAGTGGGCTGTTTCTCATTTTGAAAAGTAGTGGGAGGACGACAACTTCAAAAAATGTCACCTGATAAAATCCTTGTAGTGAGAAAAAAGTAGAAGCCAGGTATAGTTACATTTTTAAGTACTCTGCCTAGATATCAAATGAAAATGACATGGGATTGTTGCAATTGTACTTTAGCCACTATGAAGTGTTGAGGCAATTCTGTCATCCTACCATTTCTTCTGCAACATAGAAAATTTCTCTGCAAAATGCAGACAGCAGATGGGTATTTCTAACACTGCCTTAGGTACTAATATGAAATAAATCAAGCAACTGGCTTAATTCTCTGCAGAGTCAGATGTTTTCAGATAGTATCCACAGTCTTTCATTGTCAATGACTGATGAAATACAGCAGATGCTATCTGAAGCATCTCACTCTTCAGAGAATTAAGCCAGTTGCTTGATTTATTTCATATTATGTAATGTTAGACATGGATGTCTTACCCTTTTAGAAACCCAAGACTGATTCTGGATTTGAAAAATTTGTTGTGGCAAAATGGCTATCCCCTTGGAATTATTTTTCTTGGCCATAGTTAGGATGAGCTTGGCAGACAATCCTTACAAATTTGATTTTTTCCAGTAAAATGTAATTAACTCATTTGTTACATGTCTGTGTACTGCTGTGCAGAATATTGCTTAAGGCAAGTAATTACTATATGATGTAAAAGTTTTTTGTACCCCACCACCTGTGATATGTCAAAGTCTTCAGCTTTTTATTTTGTTCCATGCTGAACTTTGGTGGGTCTCAGTGGATGCAAGACACCATGGAAAATTCATGGCCGTCTATAATGGGCTCCCCACAGAGCACCCCCATGCGTCTTGTGACTTGGCGGGTTCAATGGGGTGTCACTAAGCAAAGCCTTTTTTGTGATATCACTATGGTCGTTAGTTAGGCAGAGAAGGGCAATAGGCAATACATCCTAATCAGCCAATATAACGATTTATGTTAAGGGGGACGATACCTGTTCTTATGAGGTCATACAGAAATATATCCTGGCTGTGTATCAAAATTACCACTTCAACCAATAAATGGGTGGCTGCTTTCCATATGTACATTTTTTTGAATTTCTGTGAATAAGTACACCTGTCACCAGAACCAATAATGCTATGATAGAAGCTGCTATAAGTATAACAACATACAGGAACTGGTATCCTACCGGCATGCATATGCCGTTTTGCGGCTTAATGTTATTCAGTATGTTAGTATTCCCCCAAGGAAGCTAAGGCAGCAGTGTGCATTACATCACTGAGCTCTGTGTAGAAATTCTATTGGAACCATTTATCATCTGCTCTGTTTTCAATACTATCTCTGCAGATAGCAAGTCTGGAACACGTGCATGGTATACCAATCAACTAACAGTAACACACTCAATGAGAGACAGTCCTAACATTGACTGTTCCTCCGCATGTTATTGGAGGTAAATTGCTATTTGTGAATACTTGCTAAGTAGGGTAGCCAGTTACTAAAACTGGTCATTTGCCCACTGTCCTCTGAGAATGGTCGCCCTCCTGGCCATGGGCTGCTACTATTTCTAGCCTTCACATGTTTTATGGCTAGAACTGCATGTACCCAATCATAGATTCAGAAATGTGCATCACTTACGTCAGTGAAGGTTAGACATCCAGGTAATAAGATATCCTAAAAAAGAGTTACTCAAGCATTTGGATGTGATTTTCCAAAATTATATCCAGTTGCCTGAGTAACTACATCATGTATTTTTTGGTGCATCATCATTTGCTCAAAAGATGTGCAACTGGTCTTGTCAGATGAGCATAGATCTGACAATACAATATGTAGATTGGAACACTGTTCTGTCATATTAGAACTTATCTGAATGACACTAATAGCAGTGTGAATAGGAACCCCAAATCTGAACAAACATTGATGTATCATGTACATGTAACTTCCCATTGTGTGAATCATTTGTTTAACTTATGTAAACTTGTCAGACTGTAATGCAATGTATGTTTTATCATGACATCCCGTCTGTGTGTTTTATATAGAACACATCTATCACCTGCCATGGCTAATGAGGCAGTACGGTGTCCCTGCCACACCTTTCTATAATTGCTATACCATCAAACTATGCTAATGTTACCATATATAGTTGTACCATCAGAGTTGTGGCTGTGAAGGTCTTTGATTCAAATCTAATGAATATACAAAACGTATGAATCATTACAAAGGAATTACAGCTATGCAAGTAATAATTGCTGTCGTTATGATATAAAATGCATAAAAGCATTATTTATTGTGTACCACCAACATTTTCTGGTAGTTTCATAAT